CTGTTGCTGCCGCTCTCGATGGCGCAACATCTCTCCCGACGATGCATCGTTCGCAGATGTTTGCGGTTCGATGATAGGGTTAATCGTTCCATTAATAAAAACTAACGACCAGGGTTTATTTACAGTTTCGTGAGTGTATCTCGCGTGCCTTTGGGAACACAAAAGGGGAAAGCAATTCGTAAGGCTTCGTCTGTTGAATGGACTTAAAGGAGAGGGCACCGAATTATAATTCCGCATTTGTATTCGTTAAGGCGGCAGCCGCGCCTGGCGGCGGCTACGCTGGCGATGAATTTCGCGTTACACGCAATCAACCGCTGGAAGGTTAATTAATGATCAGACATGCTTGGCCAGTACTCGACGGGGCCTCATACACATCGGCGTCTTGGCACTTTATAACTGACCACGTTCGTTGCGTTCCGTTTGCCGCTTGAATTCTAGAGAAGCGTCACGCGCGATGGCGTTAGATTTCAATCCGGATGAGAATCAGGGATTCGATCCACAGTTGAGGCTCGAATTCGTGAAATCGAATTGAAAAATAATCAATTGAAAAATACAAAAAAATACAACGAGGAAAAACGGTTTAATCGGCGTTATATACTTGTAAATGTATACTTTAATTATTAACCTTGATATCGAGATAATTAAATTAGCTTCGTTAGATTGTTTGTCCTTGCGCGAAGTGTAATATAACGAAAAAAGTGTAATATAACGAGAAAAGAGAATTTATTTGATTGAAATTTACATATATAATCGAAATGATGGAACGTTTAGTAGGATAAAATTTATTATCGGCGAAATAAGATATATTTACGAGTATTAAGAAATTGTTATTGAAATTATTTTTTAATATTTATAATTATTACACGTAATTTAACGTAGAAAGAAAATAGTTATAAAATTAATTTTCGTAAATAAATAATATTAAATTCGGAGTAAATTTTTTGGTAATGTGTATTTTAATTTTTTACAAAAAATAATTTAGCTGGGTAAAAAGTCTTGTATAACCAAAAATATAATATGTGCGGACTACGGCTCGATTCCCTTGTAGCTATATTCCTATTGGGTCACGTCGTCAGCCATCCTATGGTGGCGTAGTAATACAGCCGTTGAAGGCAGGTGCGCGCGCACTGGGGAACTACTTTCAGCGCGTTAAGCGAACAATAGGGATCCCAGAAGTGTTTCGGACGCGGTCGTGTTCGTATACGGTTGCCGCATGCTTTTTTCTCGTATTGCCTCGCGTGAACGTGTATACACTTTTACTGGACGTATCGGAGGTGACAGATTTCGGACGATGTGCGTGGTCAAGTGACGGTACGCGGATTTTATACTGAAGTGCACCGAAGTGTTGGTTCTCTCTAGTGTGTGCGCCCAAGCCCCGATGAGTGTGTGTCTACCCGATGTGTGTGGATAAAATTCACGGCATCATGTTGCCACGACGAAAATTGGATTACGCATCGATGGCGTGTCTCCTTCTGCCTCTGTTTATCATCGTTTCTCTCCCCGCGGTATCCGGTAAGTGTATTTACGCATCTCTTCTAAGAATTTGCGTCGCGTTCGCTACGGAGTCAGTTTGAAGTCGTTGTTCGCCACATGTCGCTGCTAGGCAACAGGTCACGAAACAACGCTGAGCGCCGGCGCGTTGGACGCTTATGTGTTAACTGACATTCGGCGTTTTTTTCGAACGTTCACTCTATTAAGCGTCTTACAAATCGTTTGAGGTCAAAACGTTGAAAGATTAACGAACGATTTCTTTCATATAATTGGTATTCCGAAGCGATGTCGGACATTGTCGTGCTTTCAATTACTACCTGTCTCAAAAATATTGATCATGTCAGTATGCTTGTCCTGCTCGTCGCGTCTTTCTTTTGCGAAATGTATAATATTTCTTAATAACTTTTTTTCTTATTTTTTGTTCGTCGTATATAGACAAATCAGAATATTATACAATAAGGTTATACTTCTAGAAGGGAGATTACGATTATTATTCTATACGAAAATTAAATTATATTTCTTTATTTGTTGATATCTGTATAGGGAAATTTCTTTTAACGCTTTTATCGGATTTTTATATTCTTGACGCATGAGTGTTAGCTTCTTCGAATACACGTGGTTATGTTACTGTCACAGTGGTGCTCAATTTCAATATTGTCGATAAGCGTGTGCCTTGAAGTTGGTAATCCCTGAGGGACAGGTGCCCAACCCCGCTTTCCAGGAAACGAGTCTTCCTTCCCTCGTGTGCACGTAAACATCCGAACCAACGTTTCGCGTCCCCGTTTCTTTTCATCTTTTTTTCACGAATAATACCGAAACTTTTTCCTTATACGCAAAAATTTTCAAAATATTTTTTTTTATTATTCTCCTATTTTATATCGCTAATTAGATTTTCGCTAATGATCTATATTTTGATTCAGAGGATATATATTTTTTTAAAAAAAAATACATTTTTTTCATCGACCATGATTTGATCAAATGGTTTTACACTTTGAATTAATTATTGTGCAATCATTTTTATTCATCAAAGGTCACAAGTTACACGATTAAAGAATATGTAATTAGAATTCTACTCTTCCTCTCGAGTTGGAAAAAATCGATATTGCATCTTGCGATATACGATTTTATCACTTAAAGTCGATGTAACTCGTCTTAAAAATGCAATGAAATGAGTGATTTATATATTTGAAATAGAATAAAACTACATAAAATGAGAATTACGTGCAGTGTAATTTTATCTCTATTTTGGACAATGCAAGATGCAGAATAGTTTACAATCTTTCGATCGTTTATGATCATGAATTTTTATTTTCACTTTTCTACAACGCATAAATCTCTGTAGGCAGTGACGTAACACCGGCTCGGGCCAATGAGTACTTAGGCGGGAAGAACGTGCGGTATAGAATAATCTACCAAAGAAAGTTGGTAAAACCGAATAGTAGCGACACGCAGACGAATGCAAACTCTGATCGCAGATTGTTTTCCAACCTTATTGCATAACAAATTTCATTTTAATTCTATTCTTGATTCTTAATATTTACAAAAGAAATATCAATATTATTTTTCTCAATTGAGAATTTATTTTGAATATAAGATATTCAAAGTATTTTTTCTTCATTTCTCAAATTATACAATAACATCGATTTAAAATATTTCATAAATTTAATTTTAACGACCGATGATGATCATTGTTAATTCTCTCAATCGTAAAGAAAATTTAATTTTTAAAATGTCTCTCATAAATTTTGATATTCCTTTCGTCTATTGGATAAAAAAAGGGGGAAAAAATTTTGATATCACGGGATTACGTTCTGGAATGTTCTCCGATTGAGTCAGGTTGGCAGTCGCTTCCGAGAGCAGAGCGAGGACCTCGCCTCGAGTCTGTTACTTTGCGTTGAGATATTCTGAATGCGGCATGGCGGCAGTTCTCCAGACGTTCGCCGTTCTTATGTTCTCAGGCTTTCTCTTCTCTCTCTCCTTAGGAAACGATTCGCCCCGGACTTAACGTGCTTTCACACAAAACCACGCGTCGCCCGTGCGCCGTTACAAGTAACACGTTCATTTTCACGAGTCCAACTCGCGATTGGCAGATTACAAAAATTTTACTTTTAATTCTCTTTTAATAAATTATTAACCAGATCTTTGATCAGAAATACGTTATTCGAATCGAGATAAAAAATCATTATTCACGACGACTCATATTTTTAAACGCAAGAATAGTACGATATTTCTACTAAATATCTCTGAACCTGAAACGATTGGATAAAATTTTGAATAAAACGTTCCGTGTCGTAACTCCAACCTATCTCGATCCTTTGAGATCCTTTGGTCTTTAGAGGCCATTGTTGCGATTAACATTTTCGGAGTCGGTATTCACTCTTTCTATATCACGTAACTACCAGAGACACTCGAAACCGGCACGGCTTAGAATCCGACGTGCGATCGACCTGTAACCGGTTCCTCGTTCCCTTTCATCGATTCAGGGGCCACACGAGCCTTCCGTGCACACGTGCATACACATGAATGCAACTTGAGAAACGCGTGCACGATGATACTAAAGTCTGCCAACCGTCTCTCTCTCTGCCGTTCACTTTAGGGGCAAACACGTTCTCCAAGAAAGGTCACAATTTGACGATCGTTCCACGATCCGTGCTGAATCGAACGGAGCTGGTTTTTCGCTCGCTCGAAAAAGAAAAGGAAGAAGAAAAAGATCGCTCCTTAATTTAGTCCTCTAGAGAATGTTACTCGGCTCGCGATAATTCGCACTCGTGGCAAATATTTTAACGGATGATAATACGATCGGCGATGACGAAATCGGATTGACCCTCGATCAGCTTTTCCACCATAGAGAGCCATTAAACACAGCTCGAGTCACGCTCTTGGTCTTGACTCGAGGATGGATACCGATACTTTCCTCCTGTTCCTCCCGATCGTCCCGTTTTCACCGTGATGCCGACATTGAAGAAAGACGAGAGATAGTCGGTATCTCGCGGCATCTGTTAACTAAAAGGGCAGAGATCTCTCCGCCTCTTACGCCCGACCTAGCCTATACGCCACGCGGCCATTTGCATTCGTCTTAACCCCCCCCTT